GAGACATATACACCATTTTCTCACGATCTGTATATATATATATATATATATATATAGGGAGACGGTGGTGCTTGCCGCTCCTCCAAGAGGTGGAAGAAAAAAAGCTGGGTTAATGGTGATTGCTCGCCCTTGAGTGTAGCAGGTTGCCTTAGCTGTCTTCCATCGGCCCATCTGCTCCGGCCGGCCGGCATCTGGGCCTCCGGCATGTACCGGAGATGTTCCGTTCAGTTGCCGTACGGACGTAGACAAGATGAATTGCGTCCCCGTTTCAACGGGAAAAGCAGGTTGAGGTGAAAGGAGCGCATCTCAAGTGAAGCCATGTCGCAACAGTCTCCTCTGCGTTTTGCTCCAACAGTTTGGAAGCTACATTCAAAAAAAAAAAAAAAACGACTGAGACTCCGAAAATTTTCGACGAGGATTGCCCGTTGAAAAGACACACTGCGATGCATGGTGTCCCGGAGACATATACACCATTTTCTCACGATCTGTATATATATATAGGGAGACGGTGGTGCTTGCCGCTCCTCCAAGAGGTGGAAGAAAAAAAGCTGGGTTAACGGTGATTGCTCGCCCTTGAGTGTAGCAGGTTGCCTTAGCTGTCTTCCATCGGCCCATGCTGGGTCTCCGGCTCAGGCAGCATCAGAGCAATGCATGAGGCTCTGCTCTCTGCATTTCGATTCTGAAGTGAAGTTCACACAGCTAACTCTCTAAACCATCTATTTAAGGAGCAAAAACGACATCGGTCTCTGGCTTAAAGAGGCAGCAGCAGGATCAGAAGCCAATGCACGATGCTCCTCTGCTTCCGCGTTTCATTCTAACGTGAAGTTCACGAGCTAACACTCTAAACCATCTATTATAAGGAGCAACAACCGACATCGGTTTCTCTAGCTTGAAGAGACAGCAGCAGGATCAGAAGCAACCCACGATGCTCCTCTGCTGTCCGCCCGTTCCATTCTGATGTGAAGTTTACGCAGCTAACTCTCTAACCCTCTATTATCAGGAGCAACAAACCGACATCGGTTCTCTAGCTTCAAGAGTCAGCAGCAGGATCAGAAGCAATGCATGATGCTCTTCTGCTGTCCGCCGTTTCCATTCTGACGTGAAGTTCACGCAGCTAACTCTCTAAACCATCTATTATAAGGAGCAACAAACCGACATCGGTTCTCTAGCTTAAAGAGGCAGCAGTAGGATCAGAATCAATGCACGATGCTCCTCTGCTGTCCGCCGTTTCCATTCTGACGTGAAGTTCACGCAGCTAACACTCTAAACCATCAATTATAAGGAGCAACAAACCGACATCGGTTCTCTTGCTTAAAGAGGCAGCAGCAGGATCAGAAGCAATGCATGATGCTCCTCTGCTGTCTGCCGTTTCCATTCTGACGTTAAGTTCATGCAGCTAACTCTCTAAACCATCTATTATAAGGAGCAACAAACTGTCATCGGTTCTCTAGCTTAAAGAGGCAGCAGCAGGATCAGAAGCAAAGCATGATGATCTGCTGCCGGCAATCATCATCATCATCACCACCACCAGCAGCTAGCTAGCTAGCTAGCTAGCTAGCCAGCCAGCCAGCCAGCCAGCCATCCAGACTTGTTCCGGAAAGTTTCCGGCAGCCGTCCCCGGAGAGATGATGATTCCCGCCGGCCGGAAGAATCGAGTTTTAAAAGTACTGTGCGGGCTCTGAGACGGGGGGGATTGCGCCAATAGGTTTTGGGTGGTTTCCGGCCGGCCGGCATCTGGGCCTCCGGCATGTGCCGGAGATGTTCCGTTCAGTTGCCGTACGGACGTGGAGAAGATGAATTGCCTCCCTGTTTCAATGGGAAAAGCAGGTTGAGGTGATAAGAGAGCGCATCTCAAGTGAAACCATGTCGCAACAGTCTCCTCTGCATTTTGCTCCAACAGTTTGGAAGCTACATTCCAGAAAAAAAAAAACGACCTGAGACTTCCGAAAATTTTCGACGGGGGATTGCCCGTTGAAAAGACACACTGCGTTTGCATGGTGTCCGGAGGACATATACACCATTTTCTCCACGATCGTGATAAATATTAGGAGACGGTGGTGCTTGCCCGCTCTCCAAGAGGTGGAAGAAAAAAAAAAGCTGGGTAACGGTGATTGCTCGCCCTTGAGTGTAGCAGGTTGCCTTAGCTGTCTTCCATCGGCCCATCTGCTGGGTCTCTGGCCTCAGCAGCACCAGAAGAAATGCTGAGGCTCTGCTCTCTGCATTTCCATTCTGAAGTAAAAAGTTTCACACAGCTAACTCTCTGCACCTTATATAAGGAGCAACAAACCGACATCGGTTCTCTGGCCTTAAGAGGCAGCAGCAGGATCAGAAGCATGACGATGCTCCTCTGCTGTCCGCCGTTTCCATTCTGACGTGAAGTTCACGCAGCTACACTCTAAACCATCTATTATAAGGAGCAACAAACCGACATCGGTTCTCTAGCTTGAAGAGACAGCAGCAGGATCAGAAGCAATCACGATGCTCCTCTGCTGTCCGCCGTTTCCATTCTGATGTGAAGTTTACGCAGCTAACTCTCTAAACCATCTATTATCAGGAGCAACAAACCGACATCGGTTCTCTAGCTTCAAGAGTCAGCAGCAGGATCAGAAGCAATGCATGATGCCCCTTCTGCTGTCCGCCGTTTCCATTCTGACGTGAAGTTCACGCAGCTAACTCTCTAAACCATCTATTACAAGGAGCAACAAACCGACATCGGTTCTCTAGCTTAAAGAGTCAGCAGCAGGATCAGAAGCAATGCATGATGCTCCTCTGCTGTCCGCCGTTTCATTCGACGTGAAGTTCACGCAGCTAACTCTCTAAACCATCTATTACAAGGAGCAACAAACCGACATCGGTTCTCTAGCTTAAAGAGGCAGCAGCAGGATCATAAGCAACGCATGATGCTCCTCTGCTGTCCGCCGTTTCCATTCTGACGTGACTTTCCCGCAGCGAAGTCTGTGAATTATCTATTAGGAGCAACAAACCGACATCGGTTCTCTAGCTTAAAGAGGCAGCAGCAGGATCATAAGCAACGCATGATGCTCCTCTGCTGTCCGCCGTTTCCATTCTGACGTGACTTTCCCGCAGCGAAGTCTGTGAATTATCTATTAGGAGCAACAAACCGACATCGGTTTCTCTAGCTTAAAGAGGCAGCAGCAGGATCAGAAGTAATGCATGATGCTCTGCCGTTTCCATCCTGACTTGACTTTCACGCATCTAAATCTCTAAACCATCTATTAGGAGCAAAAAAACCGACATCAGTTCTCTAGCTCAAAGAGGCAGCAGCAGGATCAGAAGCAATGCATGATGCTCTGCTGTCTGCCGTTTCAATCCTGACGTGACTTTCACGCAGCTAAATCTCTAAACCATCTATTAGGAGCAAGAAAACCGACATAGGTTCTCTAGCTTATAGAGGCAGCAGCAGGATCAGTAGCAACGCATGATGCATTGCCAAGCTCCAGCCCAGTTGACTTTGATGGCGATGGCGCCAAGAGACGATGGGGTGTTTTCGGCCGATATGCTGCCGGCAGAGTGCTTAAGTCCCAAAAAACGACTGAGTCTTCGAAAATTTTCGACGAGGATTGCCCGTTGAAAAGAGACACTGCGATGCATGGTGTCCCGGAGACATATACACCATTTTCTCACGATCTATATATATAGGGAGACGGTGTTGCTTGCCTCTCCTTGCTCCGAGGTGGAAGGAAAAAAAAGCTAGGTTAAGGGGGATTGCTCGCTCTCGAGTGTAGCAGGTTGCCTTAGCTGTCTTCCATCGGCCCATCTGCTGGGTTCTCCGGCCTCTGTTGCCGTCACAGTACGAGCTGCGGTAAGTCTGGGCCGGCGCAGGGAATGTAGTTAGCTGCCACCATGCTGCTTGCTTTCCTTCTGCCGCCGTGCCCCGACCTGCCTTTGATGCGGCTACCCTTCTATTGTTTCAAGTGTCATATCATTCACCGTGCGATCACGTCTCCAGCTTGCCCATGACAGCAGCAGCATCGAGTTGTGCTCACGACACTCGATCGGTCTGAGAATGGGAATGAAGCTGTAGAACAAACCGGCATCGGTTTGTTAGCCGAAAGAGGCAGCATCAGAAGCAATGCCATGATGCTGTCTGCCGGCAATCATCATCAGCTGCAGCAGCTAGCTAGCCAGCCCAACCATGCAGGAGGCTACTGCTACAGCAAGCTTGGGCGACGGTTGAGCTTCCAAGGCCTCACGTCTCCAACAGGAGCTAGCTCCCTCCCAGCAGCTGCCATACTGTGCCTCTGGCCATTATGGGAGATAGCTGGAAACAGCAGGAGATAGCTTCCTATCTATCTATACCTACCTGGTTGATCCTGCCAGTAGTCATATGCTTGTCTCAAAGACTAAGCCATGCAGGTGCAAGTACAAGCTGAAACCGCGAAACCGCAAACTGCTCATTAAACCAGCCTTGTTTCATTGGATCTGTATACCCACTTACTTGGATAACTGTGGTAATTCTAGAGCTAATACATGCATTACGTCTCTGACCGCAAGGGAAGAGCGCTTTTATTAGTTTAAAACCGGTCGGGCCTGGGTCCGTTAACCCGTGTTGAATCTGAATAACTTTTTGCTGAGCGCACGGTCTCTGCACTGGCGCTGTGTCTTTCAAGTGTCTTACTTATCAGCTCTCGATTGTCGGTTATGCGCCTACATTGGCGGTAACGGGTAACGGGAATCAGGGTTCGATTCCGGAGAGGGAGCCTGAGAAACGGCTACCACATCTAAGGAAGGCAGCAGGCACGCAAATTACCCACCTCCCGGCACGGGGAGGTAGTGACGAAAAATAACGATGTGAGACTCATCCGAGGCCTCGCAATCGGAATGAGTACACTTTAAATCCTATAACGAGGATCAATTGGAGGGCAAGTCTGGTGCCAGCAGCCGCGGTAATTCCAGCTCCAATAGCGTATATTAGTGTTGTTGCGGTTAAAAAGCTCGTAGTTGAGCTTCAGTTCTGGACTGACGTTTCACCGCCGATGGTGCTTACTGTCACGCTCCGAACGGTTTGAACTAAAGCCGCCCGCCGGCTTGCACGGGGTGCTCTTCACCGAGTGTCCCGAGTGGCCGGCACAATTACTTTGAAAAATTAGAGTGCTCAGAGCAGGCTAAGCGAAGGGCCTGAATGGTGTTGTGCATGGAATAATGGAATAGGACCTCGGTTCTATTTTGTTGGTTTTCGGAGCCTGAGGTAATGACTAATGGGGACAAGCGGGGGCATTCGTATTGCGACGCTAGAGGTGAAATTCTTGGACCGTCGCAAGACGAACTACTGCGAAAGCATTTGCCAAGGATGTTTTCATTAATCAAGAACGAAAGTTAGAGGTTCGAAGGCGATCAGATACCGCCTAGTTCTAACCATAAACGATGCCAACTAGCGATCCGCCGGCGTTAATCCCATGACCCGGCGGGCAGCTTCCGGGAAAACCCAAAAGTTTTTGGGTTCCGGGGGAAGTATGGTTGCAAAGCTGAAACTTAAAGGAATTGACGGAAGGGCACCACCAGGAGTGGAGCCTGCGGCTTAATTTGACTCAACACGGGAAACTCACCAGGCCCAGACACTGGAAGGACTGACAGATTGAGAGCTCTTTCTCGATTCGGTGGGTGGTGGTGCATGGCCGTTTTAGTTGGTGGAGTGATTTGTCTGGTTAATTCCGATAACGAACGAGACTCTAGCCTATTAACTAGTCGACGGATCTCGAGTAATTGGTGTCCCGTTCGCAACTTCTTCTTAGAGGGATAAGTGGCAAGTCTAGCCGCACGAGATTGAGCAATAACAGGTCTGTGATGCCCTTAGATGTTCTGGGCCGCACGCGCGCTACACTGAAGGGATCAGCGTGTTCTCCTTCTCCGAGAGGAGCGGGTAACCCGTTCAAACCCCTTCATGATAGGGATTGGGGCTTGCAATTTTTTCCCATCAAACGAGAATTCCCAGTAAGTGCAGGTCATCAGCTTGCGCTGACTACGTCCCTGCCCTTTGTACACACCGCCCGTCGCTACTACCGATTGAATGATTTAGTGAGGCCTTCGGACTGGCGCTCTTGGACGTTCTACCTGCGTGCCGACTCGCTCGGTGCAACGGGTTCTCCTCGCCTCGAGCTGACGGGAAAGATGTCCAAACTTGGTCATTTAGAGGAAGTAAAAGTCGTAACAAGGTTTCCGTAGGTGAACCTGCGGAAGGATCATTAATTAAAGAGCGGAATCGATGATTGAAAAGGAACGAGTTTCCATCATCATCATCATCATCGTCCCTCACACACCCCACAGTGGGTCCATGCAAAACAAACAAACAAACTCTCTTAACCATTAATTACGTCCTTCCTCATAGGAGGGACAGAGACCAATATAGACACAACTCTTAACGGGGGATCACTCGGCTCGTGGGTCGATGAAGATCGCAGCTAACTGCGTGTCGGTATGTGAATTGCAAGGCTACCAGATACATCGACAAATCGAACGCACATTGCGGCGGCGGCTCGCAAAAGACAGCTGCCGTCACTCCTGCACGAGGGTCTGGAAACCATCCAAAAATCCATGATTAATCAATCAATCGTCCATCGGGTCGCTTGCGTCCCGCTCTGGGAAATCACCGGCATTAGCCCATTTCCTCCTCTGCTATTCCTCCTCCTGCTCCGTTGGTTGGTAGGCAGGCAGGAAGGCAGGCAGGCAGGCAGGCAGGCGTGTCGGGGTTTCCCTAATAACCAGTGCCGCACCTGCTGCCCGTAGTCATGCATGGCAGAGAAGCCGACGTGATCAGGACGTGAGCAAGCTGCCGGGGACCGATATGCCAAATCTGTTGACACCGGATGGGAACGATATTACTATGGACGTCGTTGCTGGTGACTACAGCAGAGGGCAGGCAGGTAGGTACGGAGGCAGGAGAAAAGAATAGTAATTAGGCCGTGGGGAGGGTATGATGGCTCTGTCTGCCCTGTAACATCCTCCTCATGTGCTGCTGCTGCTGCTGCTTTCTCCTGCCTCTGCTTGCTCTCTTTCTCTCTCACACATGGGAGGAAAGAGGCGAGCTTAAGCCCAGGTGTGGGTAACAGAGGCTGGCCAGGCAAAAGTATACTAATAATAATAATAATAGTAGTAATGAGAATGTGGTGGCCACCCCACCTGTGACCTCGTGAGTGGAGAGACCTACCCGCCAAATTTAAGCATATTAATAAGCGGAGGAAAAGAAACCAACAGGGATTCCCTTAGTAAGGGCGACTGAACCGGGAAGAGCCCCGCGCATAACCTCGTGTCCTAACCCGGCACGAGGGGTGTTGCGTTTCGGAGGGTCCAGCACGCCGTGCCATACCGCCTAAGTTAGAGCATGAATGCAGCCCACTGCCCATGGAGGGTGTCAGGCCCGTGTGGCGGCGCCCGCGAGGGTAAAGATGGCACGGTCGGAAAGGGCCTCTCCGTAGAGTCGGGTTGCTTGATAGTGCAGCCCAAAGCAGGTGGTAAACTCCATCTAAGGCTAAATATGACCACGAGACCGATAGCGAACAAGTACCGTGAGGGAAAGTTGAAAAAAACTTTGAAGAGAGAGTTCAAGAGTACGTGAAACCGTTAAGAGCCAAACGGATGGAACCTTGAAGGTCGAACGAGGGATTCAGGCGGCCGACCTCGGCTGGGTGCGGGTCTCTCTGTCTGTCCGCCGATTCAGTCGGAAGCAGCGACCCACGAATGCTTGGGCGTGCCTGCACCCACGCTGGCGTCGGCCGGCGATATTCCCTCGTTGTAGGGCGCCGCGACCCGTTGCTGGGGGACGTCGAAGGCCCGGACGGACTGGTAGCCTTGAGTCTTCTTCCTTCTCCTTTTCTCCTTCTTCCGCTTGCCTACCGGCAGCGGGGGTGAGGAGAATACACGGGAGGAGGAGGAGTAGGAGGATTGGCGGGAAACGCCGGTGATCCTGGCGGTCCTGCGACGGTCGCAAAGACGAGCCAGCCCGTGCAAGCGGGCTGTCTCTCGCGGCGTGCAAAGAGATCGGTGAAACCATCCGACCCGTCTTGAAACACGGACCCAAAGGGGTCTAACATGTGTGCGAGTCAGTGGGCGCACTAAACCCAAAGGCGTAATGAAAGTGACAGGCCTGGCGTGTGCACCTTTCAGTGGTTTCATGGGCTGGAGCCGGGGCCGATCCCCCCGCCGGGTGCTGACTCTGCTGCCTCCACCTACCCTCCGGCCCCAAGACGGGTAAGCACTGGTCGAGTTTTCCCTTTGCCCCTGTCGACAAGGGGGTGCGGCTTAAGGAGGGTGCTGGCTGCAGGGAATGCGATGGCGTGAAATATCCTCCAGCCTGCATGTATGTATGTTGTGCAGGAAGGGAAGGGGCGCAGGCCCGGGACTTGCTGTGATGTCGCCCTCGTCACCGCCGTCGCCGTCGTCGCGAGACGTGCGTGCGAGTGTGTGTGTGGCGGCAGGCAGGGAGCAGCAAGTACCAAGAGCAGACATGTTGGGACCCGAAAGATGGTGAACTATGCCTGGCCAGGATGAAGCCAGAGGAAACTCTGGTGGAGGTCCGTAGCGATTCTGACGTGCAAATCGATCGTCTGAGCTGGGCATAGGGGCGAAAGACTAATCGAATCATCTAGTAGCTGGTTCCCTCTGAAGTTTCCCTCAGGATAGCTGGAAATCTCAGGATTAATTTCATCCCGGGAAAGCGAATGATTAGAGGTGTTGGGGACGAAACGTCCTCAACCTATTCTCAAACTTTAAATGGGTGAGATGCCGAGCTTGCTTGAAGAATAATGAAGCTCTGGCAACTAATATGAGTTTCCTAGTGGGCCATTTTTGGTAAGCAGAACTGGCGTGTGGGATGAACCAAACGTCGAGTTAAGGGGCCTAAACGAATGCTCATTCGGATCCCACCGAAAGGCGTTGGTTGCTATAGACAGCAGGACGGTGGCCATGGAAGTTGGAATCCGCTAAGGAGTGTTGTAACAACTCACCTGCCGAAGCAACTAGCCTTAAAATGGCATGGCGCTCAAGCATTCTCCGATACTCGACCGCCGGGGCACTAGCGGCCACGCTCTGTCTCGAGGCGAGGAGGTCTCGAAGCCCCGGCGAGTAAGAGGGTCGCGGTGGTGAGCGTTGAAGGGTTTCGGCGTGGGCCGGCCTGGAGCCGCCACCGGTGCAGATCTTGGTGGTAGTAGCAAATACTCGAGAGAGGAGCCCTTGAAGGCCGAAGCGGAGCAGGGTTCCATGTGAACATCAGTTGGACATGGGTTAGTCGCTCCTAAGCCCAAGGCTAAGGCCTGATCCCACGCCAGTGGCAAAGACATGAAGGCTGGCAGCAGCTGCAGCAGCAGCAGCAACAGCAGCAGAACGGCTGGATCCGTTTGTTGTTGCTGCTCTCCGCAGCTGCAGATGAAGAAGAAGAAGCATCGGCGAAAGGCATAGAAATGATTATTAAATGCCTCCTCGCTACAGGCTTGACAAGGCCGCCAGTTGCTTCGGGATCAGTGGCGAAAGGGAATACGGTACTTATTCCGTAACCAGGACTCGGATACCAGGCAGGAGGGGGTGGCTGCTTTAAATCCAGCCAGCCAGCCGCCCTGCCAGTATGGAGGATCCCGGAAACGGGAACCTGCTCGCGCCCACCGGCGGTGGTCCGGGAAAGAGTTTTTTTTTCTGTTTAAGGCGCCGTGACCCTCAAAGCCATCCGCTGTGAGAGAGGGTGTTGGTAACACGGTGTGCCGTAGAGCGCCGCGTTTCTTGCGGCGTCCCGAGCGCCACCGCCGGTCCGTGAAAACGCGAGGCTGGTCCAAACTCCGGCTGAGTCGGGACCACTGTTGCTGCTTTGCTCAGTGCCCGCTAATGGCCCCCTATTTCGGTCCTGTGCGTACCCATATCCGCATCAGGTCTCCAAGGTAAGCAGCCTCTGGACGATAGATTAATGTAGGTAAGGGAAGTCGGCAAGTTAGATCCGTAACTTCGGGATAAGGATTGGCTTGAGGGTCGGGCCAGTCGGGCCTGTGCAGGAAGCGGG